ATTTAAAATCAAGGTTATCTTGGGCAAAGAATGACGCGTAAATCTCGAAATAAATTCCTAAATTGTTACAATTTCTACGTCAAGTAAACAAAATTGAAGGAGAGCATGTCTTGTGAATTCTTTTTGTGCTGATGGTTTAAGTTTTATAAACTGTTAAGTGAGTGTATCCGTCTCCTGTTGGGAATCCCCCCCCCCCCCTCCTCCACATTTCCCTGCCCGGATATAGCGAGAGTGGTGTACTCCTCGTATACCCTGAGCACTGACGCAGTTCTGCCTGGGATCTCCTGGTACTGAGGACTCAGTGGTACGGAGACACATACTTTCACTAACAAGTTAATTCTCAAATCTAATCCCAGTCCTCCTTGGAGTTATTATTCGGTATGAGCCAGATTAATGATTGGTGAAGGTTGGGTTGGGGGAGAGGATCCTGCTCCGGGTAGCCTAACCTACACACAGGTTCGGATAATGATTAGTGCAAGTCCGAACTACTTTCACCGCCTGGTCTTGTAATACATTCACTTTTACTTTCAATTCAAACAGTTTTCCACAGATATTATTACATAACTTACAATGCATGAACCTTCAAATCCAAGCATGAACTAATATTTTAAATAACTATTGATGAGTTCATGGTTCTTTCGGGAAATCATTTCGGGATTTATCCATATATGCTCATCTAAAATTCATTGAAAATAAATAAACCTTAGATAATTTTGTTTGTGATAAGTGAAATATAAGGAGTAAAGATTGAGGAAGTAACGAGGTTTGAATTGTGTCTGGAAAACAAGGTTTATGTTGTATATAAAGAGAGGAGCAGGGTTCAGGTTGTATCTAAAGTAATGAGTTAGGTTTAGGGTGTACTTTACTAAGGAGTTAGGTTTAGGGTATTCTTTACAAATGAGCATGGTATAATTTGTACTTTACAAAGGAGCAGGGTTTAATTTGTACTTTACTATGGAGCTGGGTTCACGTTGTACTTTACCAATGATCAGGGTTCAAGTTGCATCTTCAATATTGAGCAGGGTTCTGGTTGTATCTTTAGTATGGAGCAAGGTTCAGGTTGTATCTTTAGTAAGGAGCAGGGTTCAGATTGTATCATAAGAAAGGAGCAGGGTTCAGGTTGTATCTTCAGTAAGGAGCAGGGTTCAGCTTGTATCTTTAGTAAGGAGCAGGGTTCAGCTTGTATCATAAGAAAGGAGCAGGGTTTAGGTTGTATCTTTAGTAAGGAGCAGGGTTCAGCTTGTATCTTTAGTAAGGAGCAGGGTTAAGGTTGTATCTTTAGAAAGAGGCAGGGTTTAGGTTGCATTTTTATCAAGGTTTGATCTACTCTAGGTATGTTTACTAGGTCTACGTTGAAGGGGGTTCATGTTGTATCTTTCAGGATTTCTGGTTCATTTAGTTCCTCATTCCGGTCCCAGGCTTAAACATTCTTACAAGTACCAGCAATCTTTTCTTCAGACATAGACTTCTTAATCTTACTCACTTCATCACTCAATTTTTTACTTTACACTCACTCAACCAGCTCTATACTCACTTCATCACTCAATGTTTTACTTTACACTCACTCAACCAGCTCTATACTCACTTCATCACTCAATGTTTTACTTTACACTCACTCAACCAGCTCTATACTCACTTCATCACTCAATGTTTTACTTTACACTCACTCAACCAGCTCTATATATACTCACTTTCTTACTCAATGTTTTCCTTTTCTCACACTCAACCAGCTCTATACTCACTTCCTCGATCAATGATTTACTTTTCTCACACTCAACCAGCTCTATACTTACATAATCACTTTTTGTTTTACTTTACACACTCATTAAGCTTTATACTCACTTTCTCACTCAGTGTTTTACTTTTCTCACACTCAACCATCTCTATACTCAATTTATCACTCAGTGTTCGACTTCACACTCATTAAACCAGCTCTAAACTCAGATATTCACTTAGTGTTTTACTTTTCACTCTTAACCAACTCTATACTCTTTTTCTAACTAAGTATTTTACTTTTCTCACACTCAACCAGCTCTATACTCCTTTTCTGACTCAGTATTTTACTTTTCTCACACTCAACCAGCTTTATACTCCTTTTCTCACTCAGTATTTTACTTTTCTCACACTCAACCAGCTTTATACTCATTTTCTCACTTAGTATTTTACTTTTCTCACACTCAACCAACTCTATACTCCTTTTCTCACTCAGTATTTTACTTTTCTCACACTCATCCAACTCTATACTTTTTTATCTCACTCAGTGTTTTACTTTTCTCTCACTCAATTATCTCTATACTTTCTCACTTATTGTTTTACTTAACACACTTAACAAGCTCTTTACTCCTTTTCTTACTCAGTGTTTTACTTTTCTCTCACTCAACCAGCTCTATACTTCCTCACTCATTGTTTTACTTTACACACTTTCAACAAGCTCTTAACTCACTTCCTCACTCAGTATTTTACTTTTCACATAATTAACCAGCTCTATACTCACTTCTTCACTCATTTTCTTGCTATTTTTTTCAATTGTTTACTCCCTCACTTACAAACTTGGGTTCGCTCTCATTTACACGCTTATTTCCTTACTTATTTATTCGTTCACTTATTTCAAAGCTCTCGCTTACTTAAAGGGAGTGTTCGCGAAAAATGAAAGGGGGTATAGGCTTAATGCGATAAAAAAGCGCTTTTGATCGCTACTAATTTTACTTCTATCTGTTGCGTCTATAAGGAGAAAATTGTTAAAAACGACTCACACCGAAGAACGTAGTGTTTATTCAAATTTGGAAAGATGCAACATTCAACTCGGATCGTAAAAAATCTATTTAATTCCCAAAAAATCATTCAGACATTACAAACAATAGTCATCGATTATTTTTCGACGCATTCGTAAATAGTTGATATTTCATAATATTTTGTATTTTTCATGATCTGAGAGTTACATTTTTTCCTGTTTCGAGGATTTTTGATAATGAAGACGACATTTTCATATTTTCCAGGAATGTTCGAAAATCCAGCGCCAGCGAAAATTAATCTAAAAAAACAAAATCAAAAATATTATGAAATATTAACTATGTATGAATGCGTCGAAAAATAACCGATGACTATTGTTTGTAATATCTGAATGATTTGTTGGGAATTAAATTGATTTTTTACGATCCGAGTTGAATGTTGCATCTTTCCGAATTTGTATGGGCGCTGCGTTCTTCGGTATAAAACGTTTTTAACAATTTTCTCCTTACAGACGCAACTGATAGAAGTAAGATTAGTAGCGATCAAAAGCGCTTTTTTATCGCATTAAGCCTATACCCCCATTCATTTTTCGCGAACACTCCCTTTAATCGAATTACTTCCTCGCTTTTCACTAATTATCTAACTCACTTCCTCTAACACTGACTACCAAACTTCCTGTAGAAGTATGGTTGCACCTTGAAAGAATGACCTCTTGAGTATATATGAAGGATATCCCCTGAAAGAAACATGACTCTTGTCTTTTAATTTCTTTCCGCAGGATCCCTCCGAGCCTTCTCATGAATGATTGTGGTTTATGTGTAGAGTTTAAGCTTTGTGTTTAGTGTTGACACCAATAGGACGCATTTATCATGTTTGTCTCATTCTTTCCTTTTATAGGATTTAATACCGTACCGAACCAAACCGGAGGAGAAGGCTTTACTGGTTATTTTGCATGCATTAATATCAACTTTTTTAATGGATTTCACAAAGAAAATCTTAAATTTTTCTTTCTCCCTAAAAATAGAAAATTTCAAAAATTCCGGTACTAATGATCATCTTTTTTAATACTTTTATCTTTGCCACAAACTCTGATTTTATAATCCCTATATCATTGCAACCCAATATCTTAGACCTTAGATATTTCAAACTATAAATTGTGTTAGACAAAGTAAGTTTGAAATATGAAAGGTTCATCAAGTTGCAAAAATATAGGTATTATGAAATTTGAGTTTGTGCCAAAAACTCATTTATTTTTTAATACTTGGCACTGACTTTAATTTTCCAATCTATCTAATAATGTAAACATCTGTTATTTCATACTTCTAATATTTCATCTTCTACCAGAATTCACATTTTGAAATATCAAAGGTTTACGACAACTTGTTGCAAAGATATAAGAATTAGAAAATTAGAGTCTGAGGCAAAGATTAAATTCATTTATCAAGTAATAAAAAAGATGATCATTAGTACCGGCATTTTTGACATTTTCTATTTTTAGGAAGAAAGAAGAATTTAAGATTTTCTTTGTGAAATCCTGTAAATAAGTTGATGTGTTAGTTGTGACTCACGTTGGAATACATGTATTGTATAATGAATTCGATACTTTATTCAGTAAACATAGTTCTTACTTCCTTTAAAATAGACAAGCTCTGTAAACCTATAAAACGAAAGGGATTGATAGAAATGGGAATTCACTTATTCCTGGATAGATTTTGGGATTTCCCCTACTGTAGGATATGGATGGGAATTCCCCTACTGTAGGATAGGAATGGGATTTCCCCTACTGTAGGATAGGGATGAGAATTCACTTATTTCTGGATAGGAATGGGATTTCCCATACTGTAGGATAAGGATGGGAATTCCATTGTTTCTGTCTCCATTAAACTGATCCGGGAGGGCATCTATTCTGGAATTTGGAGACAATTTTGGAAAAAAAATATAATTTTAATTGCTTGCTTTAAGATTTTACACCATAAAGAATTTATATTTATAATTAAAGTTTCAGTTTTTGGAATATTTTTGGTTTTGTTTGGGTTAGAGTCGATATTATTTATTGATTCCCTTGTATTTATACAGAGATTTAATTTTTTTAATAAAGAGAGGTAGCTGAACTAGGTGGATAGTTAAACTTTTTCTCTAGTTTGCCCAACTGCACTAGAGAAGTAGTTGAACTAGCCATTCCTAGTAGAGTTACTTCTCATAAACTCTGACATCAGTATACTTCAGATTTTGACACGTTTTTAGCTTTATTAATAGTTTCCTATTTTCAGGTGATTTCAAGTAACTAAGGATGAAGCAAGAAATACTAAGAGGAGAGGATAACTACTCCTGCACCCTGTCCCAGGAGGTTCAGGATATAGCAAAGAAGGAGTTACAGGTAAACATTATTCTCCTAAGTAATAAACAGGACGGGTTGCAGGCTTGGATTAGGTTTGGTTGCAGGGTCAGAGTTTAATCAAACTGGGATTGAAGTTAGTAAACTGGAAGAACTAAGAAATGAACTATGATTTAAAATTGATATAGAGGAAGATAAAGTTAGCATGAGTTGAAGGGTGGGAGAATGGAAAGACATTGTAGGGTTGGAAGATATGGGTAAAATTATTAGTAAGTTTGAAGAAAGGAAGCAGGATTGATGATTGTTTTGAACTAGTAATAATAACTGAAGTAAAATTGGTCAGACATTATAGATTGAAAAACATTGCAGAATTGGGTGAGGACTGAGGATTGGTTAGAAAACAGGAGTAGAGTTGGTTGCTACAGATTTAATTATGATTGGTTTATAGGCTTAAAAAGTGAGCTGGTTTAGGATCAGCTGATGGGTTGGAAAACAGAGGTAGAGTTTGTTGCAATATTAGATCAGGATTAGTTGCTGGATTAGAAAACAGAGGTAGACTTGGTTGCTATATTGACTTAGGATTGGTTCTGCATTAGAAATCGGAAGTAGGGTTGGTTGCTAGATTGGTTGCTGGATTAGAAAACAGAGGTAGACTTGGTTGCTATATTGACTTAGGATTGGTTCTGCATTAGAAATCGGAAGTAGGGTTGGTTGCTAGATTGGATTAGGTCTGGTTGCTGGATTAGAAAACGGAAGTAGGGTTGGTTGCTTGATAATATCAGGATTGGTTGCTAGATTAGAAAACGGAAGTAAGGTTGGCTGCTTTATTGGTTTAGGATAAGATGAGGGGTCAAAAAACGGAAGTTGAGTTGGTTGCTGCAAATTGGGTTTTGGATTAGAAAACGGAAGTAGGGTCGGTTGCTAGACTGAATTTGAAGTTTTTGTGATGTCAGAGAATTCCAGAAAGTTTGGTTGCTCAAATAGAAAACTGAAGTAAAGTTGGTTTCTAGATTGAATTGTGATTGGTTTCTGAATGAGAAAACATAAGTATGGTTTTTGATTCTGAATTCGAATTAGTCGTGTGGCCAGAGAATGTTAATTTGTTTGGTTGCTTGACTGAATTAAGAATTAGTATTGGTTGCGTTGTCAGAGAATGTTAGTTAGTTTTGACTAAATTAGGATTGGTTGCAAGACGGAATTAGGATTGTTGCTAGAATAGAAAACGGAAGTAGGATTAGATGCTGGATTGGATTAGGATTAGAAAACGGAAGTATAGTTGATTGCATGATTGCAGAGTGTTGGGATCCAATGATTTTATGGTTTGAGCATAAATGGTTGCAGAGATTGCGTATAATGGTCTGTATTGTTGTCTGTTGAAAGGTGAACTCCAATCTTTATCTAGTCCCAAGGACAGGAACAGTTTTATACAAGAAGACAGATAGATAGAAAAGTATTCAGATAGATAGATACTGATCAAAAGATAAAATGTATTAGCTAGGTTAATAAGGTGTTTAAATCTTGGTATAATGTCTAATTAATTTTTGGGTTGAATTTATTTTTGAAATAATTATAAAATGAATATTAGACTAAAGTTTTAGACTGTTCAGACTTATGGATTTCAAACCTTAAACCTAATCTTAATCAAGGTTAAATAAATATATATATTTCAACTCAATCACCAAATTGTAGCTGCAATACCCAGATTTGGTAAATTGAAGGGATATAAATAAAACCAAGAAACCGAAGCCTAAAGCAATTAAAAATGAAAAACTTACTTTTTTCTTGTTTTCAATTTGTTTTTGGTCACCCTGTACTGTGTTGAGGAGTATGACAGGAGGAGACACTAAACGATAATTTGCATATTTAAAATTTATTCTTGAATATAAATTCTAAAACATTATTTTATAGTTAGATATTTGTTTCAGGAGGAAGGGAAATCGAGAAAGAAAGCTATAAATGACGTGAGAAGATGGGTTAAATCACAGTCTCATATCAAGAGGGTTCGGTTAGACTCCAGCTTTATCCTCAGGTTTCTAAGAATGCAGAAGTTTGAGACAAATGCTGCTTGTGATATCCTAGAGAAATATTTAACCATGCGCTGCCAGCATCCTGCCTGGTTTCATAACCTAGACTGCAGAGTAAGTTCTTTTATCTTAAAATCCCAACTATTTATAATAACAAGTTTACTTTCCATAAAAGAGTTCTTGAACTACTTGGGTTTTAAGAATTTTACAAAGACGATATTTTTTCCCATTTGTCGATAAACATCCGGAGCTAACTGTACTTAATTTCATCCTTGTATGCAGGAACAAAATTACTGAGACAAGATCTAAATTGAGATCATAATCTAACCGCGCTGTGGCTAGGGCTCAGGGTTTTCCTTCAACCACTGATTACTCCATTTACAAGACATTGTTTAAATATAAAGTTGAAAAATCTGCGGTTAAGAATCCGTTCTAATCCTTCTCCTTATTATACAAACTAACCTTGAACTTGTTCTAGGATCCACATCTATCAGAGCTGGTGGATCTAGGATATCTCTTCGTCCTACCAGACAGAGACGAGCACGGACGAAGAGTTATCTTCTCGCGCGCCAGCACCTTCGACGCATCCAGATTCACTACCAGTGATATGATGAGAGCACATATCATGACCTTCGAGACCCTGCTTAACGATGAGGAGAACCAGGTCCGGGGGTTCACCTACGTTTTGGATGAGAAAGCCATCTGCTGGAGTCAACTCTCTCTCTGGACACCATCAGAGATATCTAAAGCGTTCAGTTGTTGTGAGCGTGCACTACCAATGAGACACAAGGAGATACATCTGATCAACCTACCCTGGACAATGAACTTGATCTTCCAGTTTGCCAAGGGTCTGCTCTCAGGCAAGATTCAGAAGAGATTGCAGTCCCACTCCGGGTTGGATAGTTTAGCTAAGGAAGTAAACCAAAAGATTCTGCCATCAGAGTACGGAGGAAATAGGAGTACACGGGAGTGCATTGACCTCTGGAAGGCGGAGTTGGAGAAGAGTAGATCAAGTCTCCTTGAGCTAGACTCTCTCAAGGTTACCGGGGTAAGTCAACATGACAATTGGACAAATCTTAAGCGTGCAAACAGTTTCAACCACAGCTGTGATTGCCTCTAGATTTTTATATTCTTCTTTACCGCGAACGAAGACAAATTATAATCTGATGTAAAGCAAGACCAAGGTCAGAGTTCCTTCCTTTATTAAGGAAGTATTTCTCACGGTTATACTCTGTACTCTGATACTAGCTCTATGTATACCTTACAATATTCAGTGTTTTGTAAAACCAAACCAAGTCTAGAGCAGTACGGATGGAAATTTCGAGGATTTTTTGAAAAATATTAAAACTGCGCATTTTTGATGCTTATCATCATAACGTGCATTTTTATCAAACATTTAAAAAAGATTTGTGAAAATATTTATCTTGTAAAAATGTATTAATGTTATTTTGTAGGTTGAACTGCCTGTAAATCCTCAACTTCAGCTTGTAAGAAAGAAGTCCCGCCATGACAGCAGCAACGGGAGTGAGCTCATGGGAGTAGTTGGGAGCATGCGGAACATGGAGTTCACATCGGAGCAGTAGATTCATCTCATCTTTTGGATCTTGAACGTTCTAACTCACACTCTACATAAGTTAGCACGAAGTCACCCCAACTTCAACGCAGTGATACACAGAGACATCTGGGTACAGAATTCAGAAACTAAAACTACAGACTGAATATATATATATCTGAGTTCTAATCTTGATGCTAGTCTTTCTATACTTGGGAATCGGTGTATGTATAGTGGGTCCACACTCCAGAGTTGTATCTGAGATGTTCAATTATTTTAACTATTATATTAATATATATATATTTATGTATTTAAATAAAACAAATGTTCATGATATGTTTATCTATAGATAGAGCGGAGAGCTATAATATTTGAATTTGCATGATGAATCTTTTCAAACTATGTAAAATGATTTTCCTTTGATTTGATTTCGAATAACTACAAAAAGTTGAAAAGAATGAGTTGGGAAAATCACACACGTTCAATAGTTCAAATAACAGTAGGTAAAATACGGTATCGATACAATATATGTGCATTGTACAATGTACAAAAACTTAGAAGTTTCGTCTTCTGTGGGTGACACTTGTAAAAAAATGAATATTTGTGACAAAGGAGTTAAGTCTTTGCCAGAATCTCAAATTTCTCATCCGTTTATCTTTGCAACCCAATGTCGTGGACCTTAAATATTTCAAACAATCAATTCTGTGAGTTCAAATAATCCAAATTTGAAATATGATAGGTTTACACCTTCATGTTGCAAAGATATACGGATTAGAATATTAGAGTTTGTGGCAAAGACTCAATGTCTTTTATTTAAAAACGTAAAACGTTCTGCACCATGACAAGGAGTGTGCCTGGTTATGGGTTTAACATTGTCAAAAAATCGCATTTGTGAAAAGACAAAACCCCAAGAACTAAAAAAACTGCAGGAAATGGAGACCGACACGATATTATTATTTTTAATTATTATAAATTATTATATGGAGCTTTTAAAGTAATCTGAAAATTAGAAAATGAATTGAAAACTTCAATACATTAGCGCTTTATTTTTGCATTTTAATCCAAGCACTTTTTTCATCAAATTAAATTATTTTTTTTTGAGCATTTCTCTATTTTGGGATATTTTACGCCAAAAAAACTAAAAAGAATTACTTGAATAAAAAAAAACTAAAAATAACATGGTTCTAAGTTCTGTTTTTAAATGTTCTTCTATTTTAAACCCAAAATATTCAAGAAAAAAAAAATTAAGAAATTTTATTCCTTTAACAAAATAGTTTAATATAAACATTTTACTAAAAACATTGAAAGAAGAATATGAATTTCAATGTTTAATAAACTTAATATTTCAGTAAGATATTATTCTAAACAACCTTGTAGCAATGATATATCGGTTCTTTTGTACTTTACAATACGTTAAAAAACTAACATAACAAAATATGGAAAGTTTTAGAAATAAAATGTAATTCTTTAAATAAAAATAAGAAAAGTCAAGGGAAAAGCAAATGTTAAGTAAGCACCAGATTTATAGGTTAATTACATCTTTCAAGAAAGTCCCAAAAAAATAGCAAGGGAACTGAGCACTCAATACAAACTCGGATTTTTTTATTCCTAAATCTTTAAAACCCGATGTCGTAGACCTTTGATATTTGAAACTATGAATTCTGTTAGATAAACAAGTGTAAGCTGATAATATCGAAGGGGTTGACCATATAAGGTTGCAAAGAAATTGATAGCTTTTTTGTGTGTTCGGATTTTTTCCTCTTCTTGTTTACCTTCAGGTCGGAACTTTATAAAAAATCTTAAACGCTTGATCTCGAAATCTAATGTGAGCACTTTTAAAGAAATTGAATCTTTGCTTCAAACTCAAAAGTTCCCATCTCTATATCTCTTCAACCTGATGGTGTAAACCTAAAGATATTTCAAACTTAGAATATCTAAACTCACAGAATTCATTGTTTTAAATATCAAATGTCTATGACATTGGGTTGCAAAGATATAGGCATTAGAAAATTGGAGTTTGTGTCAAAAACTCAATGATCCTTTGAGAATAAATGAAATATCAAAGCTAGAGGATTTAAATGAATTCGTAGCTTATGTCTGAATAAGATGGTGTTTAATATTTGATCCAGAGATTCAAAACACAAAAGACTTCTGCTGTTTGTTAGCCACCAATAGGTTACTTGGATCAGACAAACTGCGGATTTTCTTTTACACTCTATCCGCGGTGCTTGGCACCCCAACCATTTATAGCCTAAGCAAGGATAGATTGATAAGATGCCGAAATAAAAAATCAAGATTTTTTTTGGATTTTAACGTTGGGTTTTTATTGGTATTTAAAGAGATGTTAGAGGTACATAGATAGATTTATAGCATTATTATAATTTAAATGCTCTCCTTTAATTTACCTTGTAATCTAGAAAATTGTTTGTATGAATCCAGAATTAGAAATGTAAATATTGTTCTCGATTTAATGACTTGTAGAGTTCAAAAATCAAATTGATCAGTTTTTAACTTTGTGAATGGTGTTATGCCTCCAAAGGTTTGGAACCCGAAAATGTCATTGATTTTGAATTGCTACGTGTATTATCTAATGTTTGAAAACCATAAAATGGAGGGAAAGTGTTTAATTAACTCTTAACAAAGACGCACTTAAAAGAATATTTTTTCATAACATTTTATTTAATATTTTTGTGAAGTTCTGCAGTTGGTGAAGACAGGCGGCGGTGCAAAGGTGTAAAACTAGTGTTTTCAATAATGTCACCTGATACTTTATAGATATATATACCGGGATATAATCAAGTAAATGCATATCAAAATAATCAAAAATATCAGAATAATCAAATAATCAAAGGTATGATAAATTATCTGTTTATCATCATCTACACTTTATCAACAGTGGAATTACAGGTGAGCCAGATTATTTTTGCAAATATTGTTTTTTGAATTCATGAATTGATTCAAAAAACAGCAAAAAATAATCTAAGGGACTGTTAGTGTAATTTCAAGTGACCCTCAATCCAAAGATGGCAATGCCCGATTTACAACGGTACCTTTGAAACCTTCATCTGATCCTAAATGGTGAATTTATTATTATCGTGCTATAAAGTAATCATCGTGCTTGGCTATTGCTTCGTGCTTTAAAATTTCGATTGGATCCCGGATTTTCTCCAAAAAAATTTGGCTATGTCTAGATTATTTTTTTCTTCAATTTAAATGTAAATAAAAATGAAATAAAATTTTTTTATTTTTGCTTTGTTAGAAAACTTATTATATCTATAAATAAATAACCATTGTATCAAGACAAGTACAAAAACATTTTATTAAATTACCTCTAATACTAGTTTTTTGGCACAACGCGTGTTAAAAAGTTTTTGAACAGAAATTTTCTCTGTATCTCGTAGGTTCTCGACTTTAGTATTATATTTTATCCCTCGCTAAAGCTCGGGACAAAATATAATCTAAAAAGGCTTGAACCCTCTTAATAAAGAGAAAATTTGTGCCCAAAAACTTTATAGCACTGCGAACTAAAATAATAGTATTATAAATAGTTATAATAACAATAGGTTAAATTTCTTTAACTCCTCCTTCTAAGTTAAAAAACTTTGATGCAATGATTTTGTACTTATAGAACATTTTTCGACATTGTGCTAACTTTTAGTTAATTTAGGAATTTTATAAATTAACAAAATTAGATATTTTGCTTTTGATAATATAACTTACAGGTTACCAACTGAGTAAGGAACAACCGGTTGAAAATGTGCCCAAATGTATTAGTACTAGAATATAAAGACAACCAAGTTTAAAGTAGCCTAAATTGAAATAGTGGCATATTCAATTCACAAAAGTACCTTTTAAAGTTCTATATGAGTAACAATGAAAAGTGTTGATTTCTGATAATTTTCTTTTAGTGTATTTAATACCTAAAGCCTCAAGTCACACGTTGAAATCACAGTTAAAAACTAGCAATGCTTTAGCTGTACAAAAAAGAAATCTCTCTTGTTCAGACAATAAGGTGGTAAAATACGGAATTGTGTAGCGTACTATACCCCTCTATAAATGGAGAGTCACTTGAAATATCATCTACAGTCTCTTCAAATTGTAATGTTTAATGTACAATAATAGCCAGTCCGTCAGAGTTTTGTAAATTTTGTTGTAGGGAACACCACCTAGAAATACAAATTATGAGTATGAGGAGGATTTTGACTTTGATAACCTGGTTGATAAGGTGAATAGAGTTAACAGTCCCTTTTTTAAAATGTGTTACCAAGGTTGAATAATAAGGTTGGTTACTCTCGATGCGCTCCAATGTCGTTTCATAAGATAGATGGATAAAAACCTATATGACGTCACTCTAGCCTCTACAATCAGTGACGTCAATTGAGGTTTTTATATATTTATCTTAGGATACGACATTTTCCGTACATTGGAGCGCATAGAGACTCGAGAGTACCCAACCTTATTATACAACCTTGTATTTTACAATTTCCTAATTAATTAATGTAGAAGAAAGTGCTTAATGTCTTGTAAACAAAGTCAAAGGAAGCAGATTCTCATGAGCTTATGTTTATAACCCCCGGACATTAAAGATTTGAAATTAATCATTATTTTGAAGTTTAACAAATTTAAGTTTTAGGGTTCCCGATTGGTTGGAGGATTCAGGACAAAACACGACGAAGTACCCTTTATTGTAGCATTTGCAGATCTAGAACAGAAGCTGGATAAAAAGTTTTGTACAGGTAAACCGCAGTACGGTACAATTCAGATAAAATCTGTGGTCAGTATATCTCAGTACAGTGCATTGCAGTATGGTCTTTGTAATACAGTTCCGATGAAACTAGTTTTTGTGGTGAACATCCAAGTTCAGTACAAGTAGGAACTGGAGTAAAGGTTATGTACAGGTATACAGCAGTACAGTACAGTTCCGATACATCTAGAAATTAGAATAAAGGTTTTGTAAATTGTAAAACGCAGTGCAGTACAACTAGAAGCTGATTTAAAGATTATGTACAATGTACGAATATATCACACTGCAGTACAATACAGTACAAATAGAAGATGGATTAAAGGTTTTAAAAGGTACAATACTGTTCAGTACTTTACAGTTTCTGTATTTAAATTACTAAGTACAATTTAAACATTCAAAAGCTAAATAAATGGGAGTAAAGTGCAGTACAGATACAGTACAATTCAGTACAGGAACAGTACAATCGCATGCTAAATGTAAATATCTACCTTTTCTTGGACATGTTACAGCTGATTCTTAATTAGATACTATTAATGAATTTCAACAATTTCATTTTCCAAATATTATTCAGTAAAATACTTCAACAGTCAAACATAGTTTAAAATAAAAATACTAGATTCGTTATTAAAGGGACTGCTAAGGTAAAATCAAATGGGGGATAGGATGAAGTCTTAACATTTTAGGAGTTGATCGCGACCAATATTAGTTCTATCTGATGATAACCCAGAGTTGTCTATAAAAGATTTTACGTTCGCTCTTAATATAATTTGAATATATAATACAATTATTCGTTTTCAATAAATATAATTGATAATATAATTGTTACGTCTGTGTCTCATGACCAGAATTTCCACCAATGTCAGTGCAGTATCTGGTCACGTGGCTTTGTCTGTATCTCGTGACCAGAATTTCTACCAATGGCTGTTCAGTATCTGGTCACAAGGCTCCATCAACTCAAGAAATATATATCTGATATCAGATATATATATATATCTGATGCGTCAAATTTGTGTACTGCAGTGGGAGGCGATCAAAACAAAGAATTCAGGGGCAAAACATCAATTATGAGGGGGGGGGGGGGAAATAAAGTATGAAATATATT